GCAACAGAGAGAAACTCTGACTTAACACCTTGGTTTCACAGAAGAGATTCATTTTCCCTAACTGTCTTGTGATGTGACAGAGATACAAGGGGAAAATATGACAGTAACAGGTAATAAGGCCAGTGCACTTCATAGCACAGTCTTCAAGAAACCAGCTTTCAAGGAAACCAAGGTACTTTCTTTCTCCCGACATCTGTGAGCACAACTGGGAGAGAGGCAGGTTAAACTGTTCAGCCCGGAGCAGATGCTGGTCAAGGAAACGCTGTGAAAATGATTTATCAGTCAACTTAGAACATCCATCAATATCCAGTTTCCAAACCACTAACCTTGTAAGTTCTTCTTGGAGTTGTGTGTGGTCAGGTGGAAAGAATTTCACCACGAACTTAACAACAACATGCTTTGGCCCTAAAAAAGGGGGAAAAATAAAGCATTTATCGATTTGGGCTTCAAATACCATTAAAATAAAAAAAAAGACTTTAGAAGCTACGTTATACACCAGATAATGTCTCATTCCAAACTGCCAAGAGTACATCTGCTGGGCGGGCAGTAGCAGGGAGGGTGTAGCTCTGTGGTAGAGCCCGTGCTTAGCATGCACGAGGTCCTGGGTTCAATCCCCAGCACCTCTGTGTAAATAAGTAAATAAGTAAGTAAGTAAATAAATAAATATTGAGTTGCCCCGCCCCCATCTCCCCCCAAAAAGAGTACATGTGCCAATGCCAGGTCACTGAACAGCTGGGTGTGTTCAGTTACTAATTCACATTTTCATATCATGGGGAGACAGATACCTGTTTTTAAAAACACTGTGACAAGGGTATTACATCGAGGCATTAATAACCTTTTTCTCTGGAGATTTAATTCGTACCCCAGGTTTTAAAAGCAGCCATTTGTCTTACAAAAATTTATCTAATTGTCTGCCTTAGTCCAAGTGTAGGCTTTGGATAACTTAAGGAAGAGATAATGAAAATGTCAATCAGTTACGTAATTTATTATTTTAATTATCTCCAAGGTACAGCTGCTAATGTGTTTATCACAGTCCAGCCAAAGCCTTCATTAAGTATCTTACACGTGGTCTTACTGAAATGTTCTGATGAAATTAGGAAGCAGATCTGGGAGGAGGTGGACAGGGTGAGACCAGGAGTGAGACAGATAACTTTTCAGAATTAAAACAGAACATCGAATAGATTGTAAAATAATAATTTGTAACCGGAGTCAGAGTTTGTTTTGCTGCGTAAGCTACCACTTACTTATACAAGGGCAGCCTTACAGGGTCTACCATTTGGAATAACAGCAGTAAATTTATGTTCTATGAAATATAAGGTATTATAATAAAATCCAAATTTTCACAGCAGTTGCATAAAAGCAGAAAATGTCTTTTTGCTCTACCTCTTACTATCACAGAAAATAGATGCTGTACTATAATGTCTATGGTGACACAATCAAATTTAGAAAAAACTCCCCAAACGAGATATCATAAGGTGAAGATGTCACAATATGTATAAAATTGGGAGGAAAACAACAAGGCCGGGGAACACCGAAGCCAAGAGAAGTGGGGCTTCTTTCCGCTAACCACGCGAAAAATGAACAGAAATCCTCGCACGTCGATTCCGGGTCACAAAGTGACAGAAAATGGGGGAGATGGAAGGCCAGCTCTTTCCTCCCAGCAGTCTTCACAGCTGGGGAATGAAATGAGGCCACTGGGATCTTTCAAAAGCCCAAAGCTAGGAAGAAGCTGGCACTCAAATGCAAAATGACAGCTTTGTCACCCAGGGCGAGTCACAGCGCACAGAGATGAGGAGGGGAACTTTCGCTCCAGTGCTGACCCCAAACCGCAGGCGCCGGCCTGGGGCGACACCTTTCCACCGCCGGCACCTCCCCCTGCGAGTTCCCATGGGGACAAGCGTCATCATTCTAGACACTATGCTGCCTCCAGCCATCAGGAGCGGGGGGGGGGGAGGGGGGGTCCTCTCAATGTGTCCTCCTACCCGCAGCCAGCCACCCAATAAACGGTAAACAGTGGCTGTTTTGGTTTCTGCGTTAATAATTGCTTAATTTAAATGATACAAGATCAACATCAATGTCAATCGCATGAAGGCCATTCAACACCCACATAAATTGCTGCAAGTGGCCCGATGGGGTTTCTTAATCAGACATAAAAACGGCCCCACAAGGTATTGTGTTTCATGCTCAACTAAGGGCATGCCGTTTGGTTCCCATCCTCAGGCTCTTGCTGGGTCTCTGGCCACAGTGAGGGACTGTTGGGATGAACTGGAGAACAGAGCCTGTCTCTGAACTTGACCTCAAAGCAGAGAGAGGGGAGGATGGTCCAAATGCTGATGTACAAAGAAAAAAGAGATAGAAAAGAGTATTTTCTTTCCCTACTTCTCCCCTAGACTCTCTTGAATCATTTCTTGACCACAGTCTAAATGCACAGACTCTCTTCAGTCCTGCTTGCCATTCAGATACACAGACACAGACACACAGACACACACACTTTGGGGCGCCTTATTTTTCCAAACACCACTTGCATTCTGATTTCACGGGCTTTGAAAAGGCAAGATAAAAAAACTAACAGCAGTTTTATGAATAAACGGCTCCACCCTCTCCTTTCAAAATCGACAGGAAGAAACACAAGCATTGACAAGACAAGCTCAGTGACTAGGGCTTAACAGCATGCTTTGGTCGTTAATCAAAATGACATTTGATTTCCCAAGCAAGGTTTTGATTGCCAAACTGTTATATGTGAAAAATTGCAGAAGACACATTTTAATAGTACATGGATTAGTGGAGGATGAAAAAGCAATTATGGGGTAAAAAAAGAACATGCAGCACCAGGGCTCGACGCCACACAGGACGTCTACACGAGGAAAATGCCTGGCTTCTTATTTGACATCACAGTGAAACACATGGGGCGTATACTTACTTCTAATCTGCTTGACAATAGGTTTTAAGAGATCCAGCCACACCTACAAAGGGAAAAAAGGACAGAATGAGACAAATTCTCAATGAAAGGGTGCAGGTATTTGGAGACTTTACTAGGAGCTGTTTAAAATCAAAGTATTTTTGAGTATTTAAGGTTGTTTCTTTCTTTCTCCAGAATGCTGTAACTTACATTGTCTCCCACGCTTACAGAACAGATCTGAATTTGCTAATATTATCCCAGAGCTTGAAAATAAAAATCTCTCTTAGACTTAAAGAGTTCAGAGAGCTCATTAAGAATTTTTCTATTTTCATTTATACGATGATCACAGCTTTCTGCAAATACTAATGAGCAACTGCATGTCTGGCTATCAATGGACTAAAATATAGATGCTCCTTGATGAAACAAAACACATGTCTGTAGATGTATGTACAGAACAGCACATCTTTGAGGGGCACAGAAAGAGAGCGAGTATTTATAGAATACCCCCCTGAATCAGGCACCATCCATAAGCTATTTGTCTCTTAAAACAAGGCCAGAAGGATTCCTGTTACCCAGGAGAGAAATCTGAGACTTACAAAGGCCCAGTAATTCGTCCCAGGCCCTCGGCTGGAGTGCGGCAGAGCTAGGACTGAAATCAGGTCTGTCCAATTTCAAAGTCCAGATGCTTAAACGGATATTCTCCTTACCATGCAGTTTGAGTGGCAAAATTTTCAAAAGAGAGGGAGAGAGAGAAGCCAGTTACCCTTATTAATAAAGTGTTAAGTTAACCCTTGAACTTGTGACCACGTGAAAGGGATCCACTGAAGCTCATATTTGCATCTATGATAAAAATACAGTTAATGGGCTTAATGGAAAGAGAGTTTCATAAATAAATATGAAAAAGAGAAATGCTCCTGAAGAAAGCTATGCCAAGAATAACAGGTAACTGATAGAAGAAAAAATGTTCACGGCTAACGAGAAAATGCCCAAGTTCATGAGTAATCTGCACAAGTGCAAGTTTAATCAAATGCCATTTCCACCCATTAAATACGCATCTAGATATGCCTGCCTGCAGTGCATGTTTGTATTTTATAAACCCGAGGTTTGGTGAGGGTGCAAGGAAATGGGCACCATCTTACGCTACTGGTGGATGTATGAATTGCTACAACATTTCTGAAAAATAATTAGTGAATAATTATCTAAAGCCTAAAAATACTTATACACAAATCTTGCATCCGGTAACTTGACTTTGGTAAATTATGCATTTATGTAATCAAGATTTATACAATTATCTTAACTCTAATTGCAGCATTTTTTATAATAGTGAAAAACTTACCATAGCCTAAATTAAAAATAAACAATTAAATGAAATAGTAGTATCTACATGACACGTTACCATGCAGACGGGTGATCTCCTTTTCTTCAGCCTTTCTACATTATCCAAATTATCTTAAACGATCACTCAGAATTCTCATAATGAGAAAAGTAAAAATTTTAAGTATCATCTTATTCAGGTTAATCTTCCCCATTACTTTCTCAAATAAATACGATTTTATAATGAAATTCTCATTTTTGTATTTCCCATCCTCTCCCACATTCTTATATGGAAAAAAAAGCATGAGTTGACTTAGGACCATCTCCATTGTCTTATGCATAAGCCTCGACCTTAAAATGAGAGTAATCCTCCAAAACAACAATCGTTATTTGCGAGACACATTATTTTCCTCCCAAGAATCTTAAAAGATGGCAAAAACATCTCCATTTGATAGATAAGAAAACTGAGATGCAGACCACTGGAACTGAAACCCCTTTACTCATTCAACAACACATCACTGTGTCCCCCTGCTGGGCTCTGGGACACTATGATGGGAGACCAACCACAGTCCCTGCTTCATGGAGCTTACGGTCTAGTGAGAAAGACAAGAACCAAAACTCTCCTAACAAAAGAGGTACCTGAGACAAAGGAAACAAAGGTGAGTCCCAGAGGACTGTGAGTGTCAGGACAGAGAGGTTTGACCTAGTTTCGGGTGGGGAGAAGGCAGAAGGAAGTCTTCCCTGAATGTGACATTGTGCTGAGATCCAAAGGGGAAGACAGGTGAGGAGAACATATAAAGACAAGCAGTAAAAACACCTGTCCAGGTGACTTAAAGTGATGGGAGACCAACATGACCGCATAACAAGGTTGGCGGGTCTGGAAGGGGCCAGATCCCACCAAGGCCATGTTAAGATGCTTTCTCATTCTCCCTAGAGCACTGGGAAGGATTTTAAATATGGGGCTGATATGATCACATCTGCACGTTTAAAAGATCAGTCTGGCAGTGTGAGACCAGCTAGAGGAGGTCAGACTAGGTGCAGGTTACTGACTATAATCGTCCAGGCAAAAAAAGAATGGTATTCTGGGCCAGGAGGGCAGAAGCAGAATTGGGAAAAAGTAGGTGGACTCAAGAAAAATTTAAGAGGTAAAATACACTGGGATTTACTGAAGGGCTAGAAATGGTGGCCGAGAAAGGAGACAATGACCAGAATGACACTGAGGTTTCTGCTGCAGGCATCTGGATGGATGCTGGTCCCACTGAGACAGGGAGCACTGAAAGAGGGCCAGGATGGAGGGTTCCAGATGCTTTCATTGTATGAGGTGCCCTTGGATTTCGTGAGGAAGAGACAGGCTGGAAAGGGTGGGACACACTCATCCAAAACTCCGACTCCACGGAGGACAGGCCAGCCTGGGAGAGTCCCGGGGGGGAAGCATCAGCACTGATGACACATCGACCACCGGACAGGAGGACGGAACAGAAGAAAGAGTTGTGTCGTGGAAGCCATGGGATGGCTGTGTTTCCAGAAGGAAGAACATCAAAAAGACTGAGGCAGGTGGAGAAGGTCTGACACAGTTGTGTCTGCATGTCAGAGCGAATTAACCAGAGAATTCTAGAGGGCTCCCAATGGCTGCCCAGTGCCCGCTCACGAGCCTGCCACCCTGTGCTCTTTTGGCCTCCAGGGCTGCTTCAGGGGAGCCATCTCTGAGATCTTTCGCCATGGCCAGCCCTGCCACAGAGCCCACCTAAACGGCTGCGGGCCATGCGGGACAGAACAGCTCTGCTCTGTCAGTGTAGCTGCCAATTTCAGGCATTGTTTTAAAACATCTCTCTTCTGGTTTTGGCATTTCTGTGGAAAGCATCAAATACAAGCACCAATTTGAGCCAAATGAGCATATGGCTTTCGAACATGGAGGCCTGGGAACATCAGACTGGCCTGAATTAGCCCGTTGGGTCGAGTTCTACAGCCAGAGCGCTCCAAGGCCTGGGTCACGTCACAGCTAATCCGGCTTGGGTGAGAACGCGGTGCCTGCAAGCACCTCTCCGTTTACTGGTTAGACTGGCATTTGTGGAGCTGAGAGGGAAGGCCTTGCACAGGGAGGACCTAAACCACTAGAAATGGATGAGCTGGAGTGAGCGGGAAGGAAAATAGGGTTGCTGCTTGGCTAGAGTGAAAGCATTCAAGTTTGATTTATAGGGAGGGTTACAGGGGAGCATTTGAACTGGACCAGGTCATCCTAGACAAATCACTTGCTCATTCGACCTAAGCAGAACAGAAACAAGTTCCAGGTGAGTTAAAAAGGCAACAAACGCCCCATAATCTTTCTTTTCCTGCCAGTGGGTCTCTAGAGGATCAGACTTGTAATCATCCATCTCTAACCTCACCTCCCCAGCCCCTTCAACCAGCCATACATCCCTGTTCTCACTAAAATCATGCTGCTGGCCTTTAGGGCACAGCTACAGACCCACATACCTGACTGCAGAGGGATTTGCTTAAAATGAATGGGCTTCCAGAAATGCCATTCCTACTCAGGAGGACCCACTGAATCATGGAACGTCCCCTGCTGGGGCCCGAGGGCCTGTAAGTCAGAGTTTGCTCGGGCTGCCGTAACAAAGGACTGTGGACTGAGAGGCCAAAACAGCAGTTTTGGGGGCTGAAGGCATCCCAGGTCTGGTTTCTCCTGCGGCCGCTCTCACTGGCTTGCAGATGCCCGCCTCCTGGCTGTGTCCTCACAAGGCCTTGCTTCTGGGCACACACGCCCAGGTGTCTCCTGAGTTATCTCCCAGTTTCCTCCTCTTAAAATGGTACTGTTCAGACTGGACTAGGGCCCACTCCAACTGCCCCATTTTAACTTAATCACCTCTCTGCAGGCCCCGTCTTCAAGGACAGTCATATTCCGAGGTCCTGAGTGTCACGGCTTTAACATACACGTGTGTGTGTGGGGGGGGGGGGGACAATGCAGCCTGTAACATGTATCTTCCACAATTTAGTTTCAACACAGCTGGCCAGCCCCGTCTTCCCCTGCTTGCCTACATATCAGTCAGCCTCCCTATTTTCCTTTGATCCCCTGTGAATGTTACCTTCCCCCCTTTGGAATGTGTTCTCTGCACTGAAATACTGGTCAGTGAGAAGAAATACTTTAATGCCTTGGTATCAAAGGCAAAGCAAGACGAATTGCTGTCCCCAAACTCATTCTGTTATTTCCCTAAACATCTTTTCCCCTATTACTTTGGTGAGTGACACCTCAGACGGATTTTGTAGGCAACTGAAACATCTGAGCTATTTCACAAAGGGTCTTATTAAAAAAGAGTCACTTACAGGACATCAGCAAGGGGGACAGGGAAGAGATGACTTCTTAAGCACCCACTGTGTGCCAGGCATTTAGTAGGTGCTTTATACACTCTCATTTAATATTCACAACAATGTGGTTGCTTCACACATGAAGGAAGCCAAACTCAGAGAGCTTATTTGAGTTGCCCAAGGTCAAACAGCTGAGATTCCACTGCAAGCCCGTCTGACTCCACATATGTGCTTTTTCTGCAACATAAAATGCTGCTCCTCTAAAAAGACTCAACAAAAGTTCATCTCTCCTCTTCTTATTTAAAAATCAAGTGTATACAACAAAAACATTTCATCATCAACTGTAAGACATATAGGAACCAGGTAAAATATGATACAATTGTCCAGTGTCTAGAACTCACTGCAACCAATGAATCTTTCTGCAGACTGGCTCCTACAAGAAATTGAGTT